GTCTTTCTGACCAGGCGGCATGGGGGAGACTACTAAATGAATTCTTGTTTTCAGTCATTTTCGGAGTTAGGTGCAACATTGGTGAGGATGCTACTGCTAGAGAATTCTGTAATACCCAAAACTAGAAAATATAGATTGATTTACCTCCCCAGCTACTTTGGTGTTCACTGTTTTTTTTGTTCCACTTCTATATTAATTGTTCTCAAATTGAGATTATGATGTTCTCTGAAATAGTTTGACACACATATCTACTAATACACATAACCTACACTGGTTGATCCAATTGAATTAACTTTAGTAAAAAAGTGCATATATACATATACCATGCCATATAATTGAGGCCTCTGTTCTTTGTAGCATAATGATTGTATTCCACTGATTTGAAAAAGTACTGCTTTGTTTAATAAAATCCATTGCAGTGCTATAATAAATGTTATTACTTTAAAAGAAACGATTTTCAAGAATAAAAGGAATATTATCATTTGTGATCATTAATACTAGTTGTACTTGTAAGCACATAAGGAAAATAAAAGGGTTCCTTCCCTAATTATATATTTCAACATATTTTCAATGGGGTAGTGATAGATACGTGGAACTAAAAGAAAAAAGATGCATGAAGATAAAGGGGTTCTCAAAAAGATTTAGTTTTTAGTCATTTTGAGAGTTAAATGTGGTTGCATAACATGAAAAAAGGTGAATATCCTCCAGTATATATCCACCGAATGAGTAATCAATCTGCTTCAACAATATTATATTGGAGTAGTAACTAGTAATAGCTAGATATACCTGCAGACTTCTTGCAATGAAACTTGAGATGAGAGGCAAGTTTGACTTGCACCAAATCCTAGTAATCAACAAAGCGCCGCAGCCTCTAGCCTGGATAGGTACGCATAAATGAAAGTGTCAAAAAATCCATAGAAAACAGGGCATCGGTTTAATTGCCAGCTCTGCAAAGGAAAAATTTCTGACAACTATGACCGAATCAATAAATACCTGATAATATTGCTTGCTCAATCATCTCGATCTTTCAGTTTTAGTCTATCGATCACCATCCTTAAGAAACAGGGTAGAGAAACAAGAAACAAGGTAATTTTTATTCAAGAAAGTTACAAATTAGATAGAACAGGGTATAGTATATATTCGATCAACATGGAATTACAACACATACAGAATACATACATCAGGATTCAACAAAGAAGGTTATAGTTATCCGCTCCCCATCAGAATCACATACTTGGGTTTACCCGCAGGAACAAGATCGCCCTGTCTGGGTTTGTTTCTCAAGACAAATGAAGAAGAAGAAGAAGCAAGAAATGGGTTTTAATTTGAAGATACATAACAGGTATGAGTAAATATATAACTTATAAATATAATACCTGACATTATTGCTTGCTCATCATCTCCAGCAATTCTGATCTTTCAGTTTTGGTCATCACCGTCCTTCACTTTGCAGCGCCGGCGCATCAAGAAACCAGAAACAAGGTTATTGTCATTCAAGAAAGAAACAGGGTATTGAAGATTATCGAATCCATGGATGGAGGGCGAGCTCGGCATCAGAATCAGGTGCTTGAATTGGGTTTATTACTCGCAGGAACATACAAGACTCTGTCTTGTCTGGGTTTTGTTTCTGCGACAAGTCAAGAAACGGGAATGGGGTTTTGAAGATGGAATGGTAACGGCTATGATCAGAAGATATGTGTTTATATAGAGAGAGCGTGCAACAACCTAATTCTCTCTGGCAAGTTCGATTATCAACGGTCGAATTTTTCATCGTTCTCTCTGGTTTTGTTTCTGAGAGAAAGGGAGAAGAAGATGAGGTCACGGTCAAAGCTGTTAGATGGCGGGAGTGGACTTGCCGGATTGCCAACCTGGCATTTTAGAATACAACGCTCCTGCTAGTCTTATACGGAGGAGCAAGGCTCTTTTTAACCTTATTATTCCAAAAAAAATTACTGTATGAATAAATCTTACAGGGATAAATATCCGGCAAAAAATTACAAAAGTCTTGGTCCAAAAAATTACACACAAAAAACTTAATAATTTTAGTCCAAAATTTTAGAACCCATTTGGTAAAATTCAAAATGACAGAATAGGTTGTATGTGCTAAATTGATGAAATTCAGATTGAATTGTGAAAAGAATATGCAAGCTTTAATTTATACTTTTGATTATAAAATTATCACGGAGAAGTTCGTTTTATCGTCGATCAAATCTCAAAATCCACAACGTAACTATTATTTTGGGACGGGTGGGAAGTATTCCTAACTTGAATAGTTGTGCCTTAATCAATTTGGGAAGTATTCATAACTTTTAAAAAATTTAATTATTTATTTGCTAGGAGTAGTAATAAGACTTTAATATATTTTTAATTATAGTTCACATTGTTAACTGATCTTATAGTTATTATTATTGCTGTTGTTATTATTATTATTATTATTATTATTATTATTATTATTATTATTATTATTATTTTGCAGTGCTAGTTTAGTAGAGATGAATTTTTATGAACATGAAATAAATATTAAAATGTGTACACATGGTTTCTTCTTGCTTTTATAATCACCTAAGAGCCAAGTACCTTATCCATGTCGTGACACTCTCAAGGAGGAGGTTAGATGTTTTAATAGTCTCATAGTTCAAGGATGTTGGTATTAACATATAAATAGATACCGTAACATGTTAGGGAGCTCAACCAACCAAAAAAATCACCTAAAATTATTGGAATTGAAATGTTTATGTTCTAATGTATATAATTGATCAATATCGTGAATTAAAGTGTAGTTACAAACTTATAAATAATACGTACAATATATGTTTCAAGTTATTAGCAACCCGTGTGTTGCACGCATGATGAATGGAGTTGATTTTTTCAAAAGTAATTCGTCTCATCAGTAACATGTATATGCATATTAATTCTATATATGTTGAAAATGTAATATAAGAGTGAAAAATGAGTACATATATAATAATGGTTAGAGATATATTAATTAATATAGAATTACCAAATAACCATCCTAATATTGTCCTTGATTTTTCATGTCCAATGAGTATAATAACTATTACTATCATCATATAATTTTACAATGCGCATTATTCAGAGATAATTAATCATTGTGATGACTATTCACCAAATAACCATTCTATACATTATTTTTTGCTACTCTCAGGTATGGGTGGGTTCGGTTCTTACGGTTCGGTTTTGACCTAAAACCAAATATAGAACCAAAGTAAAAAGTTCAGTTCGGTTTCGGTTCAGTCTTACACTCCAAAACTTGAAACCACGGTTTGATTGGTTCGGTTTGTTTCAATTCGGTTTCGGTTTTTTTCGGTTTTTTATCAAAAAATATCATTTGATTTAAAATTGATATAATACTTTGAGGGATCAAACATAATACATAAAGAATGCAAGCACACTACAACAAATAAAATAAAAATGAAAATAAATAAATATGTCTTTAATTATATGAGTATGCGAGAAAGATAAAAGTATATATATTACGTAGTATTAATTTACATTGTTTGTGACTAGTTCAAAAAAAGTTCATGAATATATACGTTCTATGTAATATAGTTGAGATGAATATTTATTGTTTCATCAATATGAATTCTTTAAGTTAAATACAAATAAAAGGTAATTAATACTAATAACTAGTAAAAACATATTATCATCATTCAGTATAGCTACGTTATAAACTAAATTAAACATAACACAAACATTATTTCTCTAGCACAAGAAAGTCAAAGACTAATAATGATATTAGGATTAGTTAGGATTAATACTTAACAATTAAAAAATAAATTTTATATTTGAATTAGTTCGATTTTTTCGTTCGGTTCAGTTTTGAAGGGTAAAAACCAAAACCGAACCAAACAACTACGGTTCGGTTCGGTTTTTTACATTCGATTTCGGTTTGTTATTAGCGGTTCGGTTTTATTTGGCTACGGTTCGGTGTAATTTGATTCAGTTTTTGGTTTTCGGTTTTTCATACCCCGCCCTACTCTCAGGTATTTTATAAATATAGGTATTATAAAAAGAATTTAAATGATTAATGATCGCATCAAAGATCTTTTAAATGATGACATGAAAATTTTCAAAATCAACTAAAGTCCTTTGGAAGTTTAATTGAAGTTGCAGGGGTCCCAAAGTATTGGATGTGTTGAAATTGTTTCATCTGAAAGAATACATGATTGGAGTAATGTCCACTCATGTTTATGATTTTTTTCAATATGAATAGGGAGTAATTATTTGGGGGATAGCAATTGATAAAGGGGCATTCTTAATGTAGGGTTTTATTGTTGATGGTTTGAATGCATGTTTTTATATGATTTGTATTGTGAATGATTTAATGGCTATGGTTAATAATAACCTAGAATAACGTAAGAGAGATACAAATCGTTGGAGGATAATTTTACGCACCCTCATTTGAGCTTTTTTTAAACATCTGAAAAACGTTTTATAACTTTTGCACACTCCATTAAACAACCAGCCCAATTCAATCGCACTTTAGCACAGGGGCACAGGGCCAACTACAGAGTCAACCCTTCTCGTCGTGGCCTGTGGGTCAACTTTATTTTAGCTCAGCAAGCCGTCAAATTTTACCGTGACACTTTACCACACTTTGAACATTTGGCCGATAACATTATTGGTGCTTTGAGACAACACTACTTTTTTATAAGAAAGTTACTATAAATAAAACTAAAAACAGAGGAATTTCTCAAATATGAGTGCTATGTTTACCAAATAATACTCTCTTCATCTCACTATTATGTTCCCGTTTGAAAAAAAAAATACATATTTAAAAACTACATTAATAGTTTTACAAATTCACAAAAACCAAAATCAAATTTAATAAAAATTTGATATATAAAGAAATTAAGAATGATTTGTATTTACCACGAAAATAGGAACTGGGACAATAATAATAGAATGAAGAAAGTAGTAAATATGGAGTAAATACTACTTTGTAGCATATTGTTATATTAAACTTGATAATGTCATAATATCACAATATGATTCCATCTATTTATTAGCAAAAAACATTATACTCCGATTGAGAGAAACCACTTTATTGTTTGTCATATTTTGGGAAATTTCCCTTTTTCATGTGTTCTCAAAAGGCGTTATGTCCACATGTTAGGAGTTGGGGCAGAAGCACATGCCCTTGAAACGCATCAACATGCAATTGTGTGTTACATTTCTTATAAATACACAATCACTCAATCACAATATATATTGAGATCACTCCAGTTTGAAATAAAATGCACTGTGGTGTTTCGTTTACCCCAACCACTCTTTCATTATTGATGTACGCTTTTATTTATTTCTCTTGAACGATGCCATGCCCAGTGAGTGTTGTAAGCTCAATCTGGGAGATTTCGGATCAGAGCTTGGCTCTCCGTAGCTCTAACTTCGCAATGGTCCCTAAGTGCACTTCGTCCGGACCATCAGCTATTCTCAACGTCCGAGCTGTAGCCCAAAGATGTGCAAGAACAGTGTCTCCTGACAACCCAGCAGCTCCATGCACTTGCATCGCCATATCAAGTACCTTCAGGGCCATTTCCGGAGCTGCTACCTGCACTCACAGTAAACCAGAGCCAACTATTAAGTTAGTTCTACAAGTTTCTGCAAACCTAGCATAGTGTGTCAAAAAGGAGATGATGGAGTTTCTATCTCAGTGTAATTCACCTTTGCCATTGAAATGGTACCACGAGCTTCCTTGTTGCCTAGGCGATCAAGCTGCTCAGCAGCCTCCAGAACTAGCAACCTGGTTTTCTCCAGCTCTATTCGGCACTATACCAATTATTAAAAGAGAATGTGATTTAGAGATATTTCTTGTTGAAAAATATTAGTGCCTGATTCTATTACTACTACAAAGGCAGCGACTATAATATGGTACTATAAAAACAAAACAATAATACTCATTCCTAATTATAATCACAATACTTTGTGATATATATATAGACTAGCAGTTAATTATAATATTCATTGCTAGTTCAGTTGCACATGCAAAAGAAATAAAAAAAAATGAAGTGTCGGGATTTAAAATGACAAAAAGCTTATTGAAAATAAATAATTAAACCTTTGAATCATAAAATGTAGCACAAGTGCACAACTACCATTTATAATCTCACTGTCTCAGCAGCTTGAGACCTAATCACTAAACTAATGCACTATTTGCGAAACACATGCTCAAAATACTTTGCCTGCAACGGTTTTGATGGATAGATGGAATGATGGGTTTGATCGGAGAAACAGGGAGTGAGATATCAGTGGTCAACAAACAGTAAACTACTTGTGTTCCGAAGCCATGTTGGTCACACACATACCAGAAAAGGTCAGAACAAATGACCATAAAACATGGATGTTTTGGCCGAAAATAAGAAATAATGTACGGGGAGACTAGGGCTTTGGTACTCAGCTGAATATTAAGGATTCTGTTATATTGTTTTTGTGTTATCACAGAAACGAAGTTCCTACTTGTGCACGAATCCTAGTGAAAGCTAATGTGGTACAACTGCATGAGGGTATGAAAAAGATAAAGTTGCACCATTAGTGTCATTCTCAAATCTCAACAACAAAACACCCTTGGGCTATGAACTATTTCTTCCATCGCCTACTACGAAAAGAAACTCAAGACTGAGAAAGCTGATGATGTGCACCAGTGTGAATAGTGTGTACGAAAAAGATAAAATTACACCATTAGTGTTATTCTCAAATCTCAACAACAAAATGCCCTTGGGCTATGGACTATTTCTTCCATCAACTATTACGATTTACGAGAACTTTCTCTAGACTGAGGCAGAGAAGCCTATAAGAATGAAAAGAGGATAGAGGAAGAAATGAATCAACAACAGCAGAACCCAATAATGACATGGACAGAACAGATGAAGAAGGAAAAAGAGCAAATGAATAAGGAAAAAAGATAAGTAGCAACCTCCATCCAATACAGAAAAAGAAAGTCCAGTCGGACTAGTCAAACAAAAGATTGGTAAACTTTTCCCTCTGTACTCATATTACGACTGCCAAACTCTAACGATTCCCGAGTTCTACTCATTTCTCAAGACCTTTGATACAGGAAGTCCTTATTTATAATCTATCTCAATATATAAATAAAGTAGACAATCAATTGAATCATGTCCCAAAGACCGTGATCAACTTCCTTAAGTTTGCTGATTTTCCTGGATTGACTCCGCGCTTTTTAAACTACGCCATGGTTTGTCATCCACTTTGACAGAGAAAGTTGTCAACTGTCAAACTGACACATTCTCTATTTGTAGTAAATCTTATTTGGGTAGAAGGGATCTCTTTCCAACTTTGGAAAGTTAGAATATTTTCTTGTTACCACTTACCATACTACCCTCAACATAATAGCCACATTTATAACAGAGGGGTGCAACATATGGAACTTCAATAGAACTTTCCAAGTTTCTAGTGTCAATTTAAGAATTATAAAGACTAGAATAGTATTACTGTAGAATTTTAAATGAAAACTTTCCTACAAAATACTTGAAAGTGTATTTCTGTATTCTTGAAATTTAACTTACTTCCCCTACACTTACTTTCAAGGAAAAGAGTAAATAGAGGAAACGTCCAAAACTCTCCCTTAATGTAATCTTCAGATGAAGTGATGTGGAATTGATTTATGTATTTATGTGTGCGTGACACACACTCAATCTGTGTGTGTGACACATGCATCTGTGTGCGTGACACACACTCAATCTGTGTGCGTGACACACACTCAATCTGTGTGACACACATACAAGTATAAATTGCTCTGCATTTCCATTAAACCATATGTCATATGTGCAATAAACATACTCTCGCAACATCAGAACGGAATGAACCATGCTCAGCAATAAGTTTTCCAAAAACTTTTCTTTCGATAGCCCTCGTAACCATCATCTGCATACCACGTTCAGCTGCACCTATTAACCTCATGCAATGATGCATCCTTCCAGGACCCAACCTACCCTATAAGAAAATGAAGACATTACAGTATTTCAGACATCTGGTATTGATGAAGGGCATCCCGATAAAACTTGATGCATTTTTAGAAGCAAAGGATGCAGCCATATGCAGGAATTGAAGCTTGAGATAAGAATCTCTAAAATCTTAAACACTGTCGCTATATTTACCTGTGCAATTTCAAACCCACGCCCCTCTCCAAGAAGAATGTTCTTGTCTGACACACGTGCATTCTCAAACCAGACTTCTGCATGACCATGTGGTGCATCATCAAAACCAAAGACTGTTAATGGTCGCTTTACCGTTACACCTGGGGTGTTAATATCTACTAAAATCATGGATTGCTGCTTATGCAATGGAGCTGTTGGATCAGTTTTCCCCTGCAAGCAAAATTTAGCAGCTACCTTAGTTTTGAAATCAATAGAAAGGGGTTTATCGTGTTAATCAATTCAAAAGACAAGAACTAACCATAACAATGAGAAGTTTGCACCTCGGGTCCATAGCACCACTAGTCCACCACTTCTTACCATTAATGATATATGAATCCCCCACTCTGTAAAGTCCATAGTTTTTCGCATTAAAGGCATCCATAATAGACTGTCTAATTTCTACCTTTCAAGTCTAAAAGCATGGAGGCACCAAAAACTAGTAAATCAATAAAGCTTTCCCTCATTTAATGCTCTATTAACAGTTAATTATTAGAAATCACGTTAAATAGTACTCCACACACAAAATGGTGAGGAAAGGGGATATTTATCCGTTGTGAAAATGCAATAGCTAAAACACTGTAACAATTTAAAAGAAAAATCAGACCGCACGAATTTTCTTTGAGTTGTAAATCTTGATATTTACTTTCCGTTTTATGACAATATTTCCATCCAGATAAAAAGCATTGTGTCGGACCACAACAGCACACTCGAACACTTCAGGTGAAAGTGTCAAGTAAGAATAGCAATAAGAGTATTTAGTCTTGTATCAGCTCAAAGCAGAAAAAATAGGTCGTGGTCAAAGTTGCCCATTGCATAGTTGAGGCAGTTTATAGGGATTGCAAAAGCATCATTGCGCAACGATGGGTAAGCCTAATTCTTGATACAACTTCATCAATGTTTTTATCTTCTTCTCAAGGCTATGACTTTGACTTAGTTGAATGGGGTCAATGCACGGGACGGGGTATATAGCCCAATACTTGCATGAAGAGATGACAACAACTAGTCCATCCATCATTGTTGCTACCGCTGAGCCTTAAATCCCTGGAAAGAGGTGTTGTTTTCGAAGATCACCTAGGGTGGGTTCGGTTCAAACGGTTTTGTTTTTATCTAAAACCAAATGATGAACCAAAGTAAAAAGTTTTGTTCGATTTGGTTTGGTTTTATCTTTCAAAATTTGAAACCACGGTTTGTTAGGTTCAGTTTTTTCGGTTTTTGCCAAAATATTTTTGTTGATTAGAAAACATAAATACTTAATAGTAATATAATACAAAAACGTAATTAAAAAAGAGAGAAGAAACGAATTCAATTTCAATATATGAATTAGAGAGTGTATACCGCTTTAAATACTTTTTGAAATAATTAAACGCATAAGTTAATATACGAAATATATAGAAAGTGCAGCCTCAAGTTAAACTTTTATTTGTAAAGGTTGTGTCCACTAATTCATTTTTTTAGTAAAATATTTTTTATTGATGGTAAATAATTTAAAGTAACTTATTCTACTTTCTTATTAGACAAAGGTATATATGCTCTAAAGTTTCACGTTTTGTGCTTAGTTGTTTGAGAATAGATGAATAATATATACGATAGTATGTTGTTTAAGGTACAGTTTGGATTAATACATATTTCTTCAATAATAAAAAGTTGTGCAATAACAAACAAAAGTAACTAAATAGTATAACAACAAAATATCATTGTCATGTAACAACAAGCAAAATGTAAATTACAATTTAAAATGCCTGCATATTAATATTAGCAACAGACTAAAGTGTATATACAAGTGCTTCACTTAATAAAACCATAAATATCAAATGTCAATATCTTGAAAATCATAATAACTCTAGTACCAATCATTAACTTTCAAGAATTAAGAACTAAACAAATATTATAAAGGTGAAAACCAAATATTCTTGCAGTTCGGTTTGTTTTGATTGCGGTTCGGTTTTCTGTTTTCAGTTTTCGGCTTCACCGATCCACCCCTAAAGATCACTAGGTAGAGCCCCCATTTTGCTCATAATGTGATGGTTGTTTGGTTAACTTAAGTGTTCAGGTGAGCAAAATTCAGTCACTTCCGACGAGTGTCCAGAAAAGAAAAACTTTCAAAATGGGACAAGAAAGGACCAAGTCTCTCAATGAAAGTACCAATATTGGTCTAAAATACAATGAAGTTGTGTGAAAGCGTTATGTAAGAACAGCAAGAAGCAAGTAAGAGAGTGATTAACTATGTATTAGCTCAGAAATGATTGCGCACATTGCGAAGATGGTCAACGACTATGGTGCAGAAAATGCTCACAAGGAAACAATAGGAAAGCCCATAATAGCTAAGAAACTAAGCTGATTTGACAAGAGCCGCCTCGATCAATTAACCTTGACGTCTTAGATGGGTCACAGGTGAATACTAACAAGTCAAGGCATGACCTCGGCAAGCCAACAGAGCAGGTTGGTCATCACCAAGCTGAGCTCAAGCACCCATGAGCTGGTTGGACTGGGCAATGAAAGATGGGCCATACAACTGGGGTCTCATGCAGATTACGCGCCTATACATTCATATGATGGTCGCGTACCGGGATTTGGGCTGAGCCCCCATAGTCCCATCACCATTACAAGTAATGATAAAACAGCTTATCAATGTTGACTATTATCAAAACCAACAAACAAATATTTGTATTGTATCCCATCGAAATGTAAAAGCTCTACATGTGGTAAATTCCTTCCCGAAATGGATCTAACCATTCTTAAAGCAGCACATAATCACTGTTACCTTTTTATGGAGCACTCTATATTGGTTGCATCAGAAGAGGCTACTTGTGGTTCTGTCATTGCAAATCCTGATCGTATACTTCCTTCAAGCAAGGGTACAAGCCATTCCTTCATCTGCTCTGCATTCCCATATCGAAGTAATACCTAAAAAAACATACGGACATCAAATGACTGCAAAATGGCATGCATAGGTATGTAATTACACATGGACTATTTAAATGTAACGCTATTTACACACTACGCTCCATCATTTCCGATGGAGCCAAAGACTCACTATTTTTTGGCTTGGGAATATGATGGAATAAAGCAAAATGGCTCACTAAACTACCTGCGCTTCCTTGTTATGAAGCAACAGTCAATCCATGCAATTTCCGACATGATTTTTATCATGGGTCATCTGGAAACGATCTCTTTGAACTTAAGTACACGGGTAAGGCTGCACACATCCGACCCCCTCTTACCCCACCGTAGGTGGGAGCCTTTGCGGCACTGGGGTGATGTTGTTGTAGTTGTTGCTGCTACTTATATACTACCTTTGTCCCTAATGTATCCACATTTCCTTTTTTATGCGCCCCAAAATTATCCCCCATTCCCTTTTAAGGAAAACCTAATGTAGCTTATATTATTTCTTCCTCATCATCTAAATAAATTTTAACCATGCAATTTTCTTTTTCTCAATCTCCAAGCCGATCAATATTTTCTTGTAAAACTTAGGACAGAGGGAATATCATATTACACTATTAGATGAAGAAAATCAGGTGTTTGAATACAACATTAGATTTATGATTTGTCATTAAGTACGAAAAATATGCCATATCAAATTATTATCTGAAAAATCATCAACTGCTTTTCTCTTCTTTCAGTTTTTTCATGAATGTGAGATAAACCAGAAAAAATGAGAGCATGCAAACAATACTGTGGTATCCTGACATCATTCTATATCCTTTACCTCCATATTTCCAGTATCAGGTGCTCCACAGTTGAAGACCTGTGGTGCCCAAATAGAACGGCCCATTAACTCACATAGATACCCATATTCCAGATTGGATAGTCCTGCACCTAGCAACCGATCATATCCCTTATCTGGTGGAGCATCACCTTTTTCTCCGAAGATAAGTTCTCGTGCTCTAGTTGCACTATCAAGCTGCAGGAGTAAATGGAGAAAATAGTCAAACAACACAAAAAAGATCTTTTATTTCACTAATGTTTTAGCAACTTGTCTAAGGTTATGCTGTGTGGGTGTGTGTTGTACGTTGCTGGAAATAAATGGAAAGATTATATACAGGTATAAACAAGTTCCAAAGGCCCTCCGCTTTTGCCAGTCCTTTTAACTTCTCCTCATCTGGGTGAACTGTCCAACGCATGGTAGATTGAGCCAGTTTGTAGAATTCATGTTCCCTTGGGTATATGTGATGCTCCATGAACTTGATCAATCTGTCTCTCAAATCTTGAATTTTTCTGTTGGGCACAAATTTAGCTCTCATGGGGCATAAAAGATTCAGACTTTCATGATCACGTTGTTGTTTCCGGATGGATTCAATTGTACCTGAATAATTGAAACCATACCAGCATTTTAGTAGGTCACTTGAATATTGAGACACGCAAATTAAAACAATCAGACATAATCAGCTACAGCTAATCAGCCAACTCCATCTCTATCATCATTTTCCCAGGAAAGTTACATTACACAGAATGCACGATATGATTAGGTAGAGTAACTAATGTTTTGGGTGCTCAGCATTTCTCACAAGGATTGAATCAAATGATATGCAATGGCTAATCAGCTAACTCCGTCTCTATCATCATGCTTCCCAGAAAAGTTGCACAACACAGAAAGCAAGATATGATTAGGCAGGGTGCTCGACAGTTTCTCACAAGGATTAATCAGAATGAGCTTGGGGATCTTCATGATATCAAAATGAAGACTCAATAAAGCTAAAATCATTTGACACGTAGAACTGAACGGAATTTGGGCAATAAAAACAAAATCCTTAGGTAAGACATGACAATAACATCAAAATCCATTGTGGCCCATGGGTAAGGTTCTATATAACAAATCTTAACCTTAGAAAATTTCAACATATCAATACAACAGACAACATAGTTAGTAGTACTTAGTCATGTGAAACACAAAATGAACTCGTGATACACCACAATGCTGTCGTTATATATCAAAACGCTTAATAATCTTATTTACCAGTTGGGGGATGTGGTGGTAGAACATGTTCTCTTCTAATAAAGGACCATGCAACTTTAATGAGAGAATTAGACATCTCTCCGGCAAGTCTGGCGCGTTCACCTCCTGACGCATTACCCTGCAGCTCACAAATAGAACGGCTCTTGTCATTACGCTTGTAAAAGAAAAATATTATATGAGATTGAAGAGGAACTTGACCGATTAAGGTGTTGTTGTGTGACCGAGAGGTCACGGATTCAAGTCTTGAGAGCGGCCTCTTGTCAGAATTTGACAGGGGAGGGATAGCCAATTATGCACCCTTGTGAAGGGGGCCGTGTGACCCTTCCCAGGACCCTCCCCTTGCGAGGTGCCTTCATGCACCGGGCAGCCTTCATGAACCGGGCTGCCTTTTTGTTTACATTTCATCAGTCTCAGAATGAGAGTTATTATGATTTTCAAATCTTCCTCAACAAGTTTTTTCACAGAATACTGCTAAATAAAAAAAATAGTTAAGAAATTGGGATTGGGTTAAAAGTACTTCCCAAAATGCTGCTAGCTGAACTCTAGTTAACAAAAACGTTACTTGAATTGGCGGTTTATGTGCAAAAAGAATGGTGCTAGGAGCCCAAGACTAATGAGAATAAAAGCACTGTGGGTCCCAGTGAAATAAAAAAGCCTATTTTTTTAAAACTGCTATAACTTGTTTATTTGTTCTCCTATTGTTACAAACTTTATATCAAAATTTATAACTTTTTATTATCTTTCATATAACACCAATATTGCATATATAAAAATAATAATAATAATAATAATAATAATAATAATAATAATTACACTTGGCACTTAAAAAAACTTATATTTTTTAAATTGTTATAACTTTTTTTATTTATACTCCGATTGTTACAAAAAATATATCAAAATTCATAAATATTTATTATCTTTAATACAACACCAACATTGCATATACAAAATATTAAGTGCTTTACTTTTTTAAAGTTTTAAATTATTTTTTATTTTTATATATGCAATATTGGTATCATACGAAAGATAATAAAAAGTTATGAATTTTGATATATTTTTTGTAACAATAGGAGTACAAATAAAAACGTAACAGAACTTTTAAAAAAAGATGTTCTTTTAAGTGCTAATATTATTATTTTTTATATATGTAATATTGGTGTCATATGAAAGATAATAAAAAGTTATAACTCTTGATATATTTTTTGTAACACTCGGAGTACAAATAAAAAAAGTTATAGCAGTTGAAAAATGGGCTTCTTTATTTCACTGGGACCCACAATGCTTTTATTCTCTTTAGTCATGGGCTCCTACCGCCACTCTTTATGCCCATAAACTGCCAATTCAAGTGGCGTTTTTGTTAATTATAGTTCACCCAACAGCATTTTGGGAAATACTTTCAACTCAACCCCATTTTCATAAATATTTTTTTATTTAGCATTACACTGGAAAAAAACTCCTACTCCGCTATAATACTTTTATTTAAAAAATATTTGATATTACCTTCAACATTATCTTCTACCCTTGAAATTATTAAAAGATCACTTCAGTGCTTGATTTTTACAATGCATACCTTTCCATTATGATATAATAATCTTCAACTCTCGAAATAAATCAAAATAGACTTTCCTGAGTTCCTCGATGACTCATGCATTCTGACATAGTCTCAGACACTCCCTCTGTCACTGTTAACTATGTGCTTACCCACACTTCAATTTCTATCATTTCAATAGACGCACCATCTTAAACAGCTCCCCATACATATTTCATTAAAACCTATATATCCAGCATCTCTTGGCCAAAATAAAGGAGGCTGAGTAGAATATATAATATTTGAAAACAATGTTACCATGATCCATCTATTATGAACGCCTGAATATATTGATGCTCCACGAAACAATGAAAACGCCATGTAGAATTTCCACTGAGTGACAGGCCACTCTTTACCCTGGTATCAATAACTTGTGCAAATGAAAACATGTTAGAAGTTAACTTGATAGAGGTCAAATAAATAACTAAGGCTTGACATGTAAAATAGATATCATGCTTTGTTACTCAGCAATCTTCATATCATAATTGCAAATCTGTTAATATGATAAACACCTCTATTTCATTATCATAGCATGTCACGGATCATTTCAGTGCTTGATTTCTACTTTCTTTTATTATCCATGGCCAATACATGAAGTTCATGTATATAATATGTCCCCTTTACAGTAACTTTTTGGATAAATAATTACTCCGTAATTGTTTGTTGCTTTATTGCTTAATGAAGCCTTTAAAGGATATCTTTTCTAAATGGCTAAATTACAGGAACTGATTTAGTACCTAGATTCTAGACTGACGCAACAAAACATACCTAGGAAATGAAAAAGTACTCTTAAGAGGAAACACAACAATAAGAGGTATTTGGTTCGAATTATCACTTATCAAAGATGTGAAAATATAAAATTAAGTCATTAACTTGTGTGGTTGTAGTTTATATTTCGACGTATATCAATTAACTTACTAAAAAACCTGGTATAAGCATATGTGCCGTTAACTCAAGAAATTATCCTAACTCCTAAGTGCACAAGTCATTTGTTATATTTTATCAAACGACTCACTCATTAATATGGTGCACCACATGTTGCAATATACTCCCTCCGGTTCACATTCTCCTTGACACTTCGGAAAAAATGCTTGACTGACAATAAAGCAACTCGATCCTTGTTCACACTCAGATTATTTTTAGTAAATAAAATTTACATATTCAGAAACTACATTGGAACCGCTACAAAGTCTGATCAAGAAAATTTAAATTCGATAAAAATTTGATATATAAAGTAAAAGATTAAGAGTGACTTGAGTTGACCAATGAATAGTAAGTGTAAAGAAGAATGTGAACTGGAGGGGGTATTACATTAATAATTTACGATTTATGAGCACAACATACAATATTAGTCAGGGATAACTTATAAATATTGTTAGTATGAAAAATAATAGTATGGAAGTGAGAGGAATAAAAGAATAAATAATGAAAAAGGTTAATTACGACTCATAATTTAGTGAGGAGTTAATATTCATTATTACGACTTATAATAATGAAAAAATAAAACGCTCAGGGATAATTTATGAGCGTTTAATTAATAAGAATGAAAAATAATGAATAAAAGAATAAAAAACGCTTGCTGGTTCTTGATAGAGAGAACAAAAGGTTATGGAAGTGAGAGGAAAAAATAAATAATGCATGATGTTAGTATTTGATTTCATGAGCTCTAGGGCATAATCAGAATATTTTAAACAAATAAAAAATGTTCTGGATTCAATTCAATGACGTAAATATGGGATAACTTCCAAGTTCCATCTGACCTCATTTTCTTTAGTGGAGGTAATAATATATTGTCAAGGTTATGAATTACATAATAAAGCCTTACTAACATACCCAAGTTATAGAATACTTCCTACATCCACAATCTTTGTCCCATCTTTCTTATTTCGTCCATAGCATCTTTCTTATTTCGTCCATACCACTAAGCTTGTCTCATAATATATTTGGTAATATTTGGTAATGTTCCAATTCATTTTGACTTTAATCATACTGCAAAAATTTAATAATAACCGCATAATTCCATTTTTTAATAATTGTGTCACTTCTTCATGTCCCAATATTAGTGGATGAATGTAGTATAAATTAACTACATGCACCCAGGGGAAATAGAATAAATTCTCATTTAATCACAGGTGCTATGATGTATCCAAGGTCCCTTTTCTGTTATTTCTTTCAAACAACAGCATGAACATCAACTTTATAGAATATGGCTATACTTATTAATGAGCATAGTGAATTTACATTATTTTATCAAACGCTGTTGGGCCCGCATACAAACACAAACAACTAAAAAATATAGATTCATGACTATCAGCAAGCAATGGACTTACAGCAGTTGAACAATAGTCTGCCAAGAATTCGGCTAGAGAAGGAATCCCTTCCGGAATCGTTTTAAGTTCAAACCCATCATTCTCTTCTAAAGGTAGCATTGAAATATTGACAATATAATTCTGAAAAAAAAAATCCATAAAAAATATCAGAATGGTCCACAATGAGAAATCACTTTACTCTCTTGACCTGAATCCTAGTCAGTAGGATACTGATTACGGAGCCCTTAGAGTCATGATTGGAAACGCTGCTTTAAATTTTAAAAAATTGGGGTGAGGGGGTTAAACATTTTTCCAATTGAATCAAGTACCATGCAGCAGTAAGCAACATCACACATCTGATTACCCAGAGTTGAAAGTTCCCAGTCGAGAATCCCAATGACTTTGTCCTGATATTCGGAACATAAGTTAGTTTCATTTCAGCGCAACTGTGCAAGCAAGGGAAAACATAATAGTACCACTCTTTTCCTGGTTCATACTTCACATGTCACTAAATTCCATGTATGAACTCAATGCATATGTGAAAATACATATGAATACATCAGTATTCGGGAAATTGTGAAGTAGACTTTGAAGATATTACCTCTATGGGATGGAAAACAAGATTATCAATTCGAAAATCTCCATGGACAAGACCTGATGTACCCCCAGAAGAATCTTCCAAAGGAACGTGTTCCCGCAACCAGTCAGCTAGTTCTAACATTTTATGGTTTCTCTGACACTTGCCCTTGCCAGTGGATAAGAGATATTGTTTGGCCCATCTCTCCACCTAAGGTAGGTTAAATAATTAATTAGTCCATCAGAGCACATCCTCTAAGTAACTTTACGAGAGAAAATGCAAACACCAAAGCCTAATCACTTAACCAACCGATCGTGCGAAAAGTAGAAGCCATTGTTAACCACATAGACACTACCCACAAAGTTAAATTGACAAACATGTGGGCTTAATCGGGAAAGTGACTTAATGGGCTTAACCATAAAAGTTATTTCATGAGCTTAACCAAAAGTATGACATAATCACTTAGCCTTTAAGCCGCGTTTACTTAAAACTTGAAAACGCAATTGGGAATGCCTCAATCCTGCCTCAATGAACAATGGTTCTACCCTATCTCGCATAAAAAGTTGTAAGCCTCAACTTTGCTTAATTTGGGAATCGCCTTATTGCGTAGTTGCCCCAAAAATTGCTGAGGCAGGCATTGCACAATTACGAACAATGGTTCTATCCTAATCAGACTATTTATTCAAAACACATGGTAAATAGCCCCTTACAGAAAGACTAGTAAATCCTAACAGGCATCTAGACAGAACTTAATGGACATAAAAGTCAACAGCATCTAAGATATAGTGGGCACACCTGTCTCTTGCAGTAGCCATTCCGCTTTCCATAACTTGATAAACCAATAGCATCAACATTGGCTGAATGAACTGAAGCCAAAGCCTGGGCAGTTGCGCCATAAATTGCCTTCCTTTGTTTAGGCGGTAGATCCTTATAAAAGGATTAACATGACATTGATCAAACACAACATTAAGGTTCTCGAAGTTCGGTTTACGAGGACTGAACGACGGTAAAAGTCAACTCTTCCATAATATTTAAATTAGTAGCAGTAATTAAAATTTATATATTTGAAAGTCACTCTAAAAGTTGTATTGAACCGCAGAAATCAAATACGAATATAATAATAAAATTGTTATTTGAATTGCAAATTGGGACAGGTGGACTAATTGCAAATTGGGTTTGAGAAGGTATACGGAGTTCATACAGGAAGCTTAGGGTCAATGAAGATACGGCCTTCCAAATACTCCATTATATAAAATGGTGTTCCAATCACACTTGATTCCGTACACAAACAGAAGACTTTAGGAACTGGCACCAGTGTATGGGTGCCTAATGCATTTAGGACCTGCCACATTAAACTAATAAGTCTCTGAACTGAACAAGAAAACAGATAACACTCTGCAAAAATTGAATAAGATTACACTGTTTACAATTATACAGCACCTCATATTCTCTCTCAACAGCATGAGCGGATTGAAGCAGTTCACCAGGAGGTTTCTTTCTCAATACATACTTCATCACTTTATCACCCGAATGAACCTCCATAAGAAATGTCGGGTTCGATTGACCATGTCCAAACTGAGTCATAAATAAATTCACTACATTACAACCACAGGCGTAGCTACCCAGCAGTTTGATGCTGAATAATATCATAACCCAGATATACCCTGACTTGTTATCTTAACCTGTAATCCAACTGCAGCTGAGCCTAAAGAAAATACCTGAGAAATGGAGAGTTTAGTTGGAGAACGTGGGAAGCCATGGACATGCGCAGAGCAGTATAGGAGGAGGGCTTCTGTATCAAATAGACGAGCCTGATCGACTTGGGTAGCGAGATCGGAGGTTCGAGATGCCATGCCTAGAATGAATTGCTGAACTAGAAGTACCTGTAGTCCTTTCTGTAGAGTTCAGGCGAAATTATAGGCTTGTGATGTAAAATATGATTAAAAAATGGTGAGCTTGCTGGACGCGTCAGGCTCCTCTCCAGTCTGCGGCTCCATTTATAAAATCAAAGTTAGTGATTTCATCCTTATCCGTATTTCCTCTCTAACTGCTACATTGGCTTTACAGAACGACTTCTTTTGTCTCTTCTGACCCTTTTTTTTTACTTCTATTTAGACTTTTTTTTGCGAATGCTTATGTTTAAAAAAAGAGTAATGGTAAGTGTACCCAGAATTGTACACACCACTATACATCATAAAAAGCTCACTCCCTCCCTTTTCTAACCCATTTAACTCCCTGCCCTCTCCTCTCTCCTTCATCCCAAAAAAAACACCAGCCCACTCTTTTCTCTTTCCCCCCAAAGAAACCGATTCCATCTCTTAACCCCTTTCCCGTCGAATTGCTTCAGGCGAGCCACTCCATCGCCGCCCCTCTCCATCGAAGTTCATCGGTAGTTCCACCCTCCCGTCCGGTGTGTGCGCAAAGTCCAGAAGTCAACCGCCCGCCCAATTTTCTTCTCCTTTGAGTCGCCATTCTTCACGCTGAATTTGTTGGGTTTTGCCTCCGCCACCACTTCACTCTTTACTGGAAACGGTTCGCACTTCATTGATGGAATTGGCTCAAAGGTAATTGTTTTTTAACCTTGTTTTGAGTTTATTTTGTAGTGAATTTTTGTTTGGAGTGAAACTATATTTTCTCTACTGTGATTTTCTAGTGTGTGTTCTTACATGTTTGTGGTTTTTCAGATGTCTGTGTAGTGTGTTGTTAAATGTTTTGTGATTTTAAGATGTCTGTGTAGTTAGTTCTTATATGTTTGTGCATATTAGAGTTGTCTGCATGCATTTATTTATGTTTGCTATTGTGCATTTTAGGCCTGTCTGTATTGCATCTGTTCAGATGTGTGTATGCCCAAGAATTTGTCAGTTGTGTGGCATTGTTCAGTTGTTTGTGGGGCATTTTGAGCTGTCTATGTTTGTGAGAGTTGTCTGTTTCCTCTTATATGTGTCTCTATTTTATGGTCATATGTATATTTTACTTTGAATTCAAGTTTGAGATGTCTGTGTAGTTTGTGGTTTTTTCACTTGTCTATATGGTGTTACTGAGATGTCTGTCTAGTGTGTGTCTTATTTTCCTGAGATGTCTGTGTAGTTTGTTATATATGTTTGTGGTTCTTTTCACTTGTCTATATGGTGTTACTGAGATGTCTGTGTAACACCATATAGACAAGTGAAAAAACCACAAACTACACAGACATCTCAAACTTGAATTCAAAGTAAAATATACATATGACCATAAAATAGAGACACATATAAGAGGAAACAGACAACTCTCACAAACATAGACAGCTCAAAATGGCACACAGACAACTGAACAATGCCACACAACTGACAAATTCTTGGGCATACACACATCTGAACAGATGCAATACAGACAGGCCTAAAATGCACAATAGCAAACATAAATAAATGCATGCAGACAACTCTAATATGCACAAACATATAAGAACTAACTACACAGACATCTTAAAATCACAAAACATTTAACAACACACTACACAGACATCTGAAAAACCACAAACATGTAAGAACACACACTAGAAAATCACAGTAGAGAAAATATAGTTTCACTCCAAACAAAAATTCACTCCAAAATAAACTCAAAACAAGGTTAAAAAACAATTACCTTTGAGCCAATTCCGTCAATGAAGTGCGAACCGTTTCCAGTAAAGAGTGAAGTGGTGGCGGAGGCAAAACCCAACAAATTCAGCGTGAAGAATGGCGACTCAAAGGAGAAGAAAATTGGGCCGGCGGCTGACTTCTGGACTTTGCGCACACACCGGACGGGAGGGTGGAACTACCGATGCACTTCGATGGAGAGGGGCGGCGATGGAGTGGCTCGCCTGAAGCAGTTCGACGGGAAGGGGGGTTAAGAGATGGAATCGGTTTCTTTGGGGGGAAAGACAAAATAGTGGGCTGGTGTTTTTTTTTTTTGGATGGAGGAGAGGGCAGGGGGTTAAATGGGTTAGAAAAGGGAGGGGGTGGGCTTTTTATGATGTGTAGTGGTGTGTACAATGCTGTGTACACATAGCATTACTCTTAAAAAAACACTTTTTTGGAAAAATAAGTGCTCTTTGTGTAATAGACAAAGTAAAAAGTGGATTTTACACGAAAGCCGAGAAAAGTAAAAGTTTGTACTGTTTGATAAAATAAGTGTTTTTTAAGCCAAAAGTTGGGAAGTGCTTTTTTTAATGATTTGCAAACAAAGCCTTAGTATTTACCCTCTTTCAGAAGATTGAATCCTCAACCGCATAGGCCTATGAGACTTTTAGTAGGTTGTAAGTTTCGGTAACTAGTTGGTTCAATGGTGATAGACTTTGTACTCAGGCACATCGGAGGTCCAGCTTAGCACGCAGGAGCTATAACCACACCACATTGCGGGTTTCGATCCTTGATCACTCTTTCAATTAACTATCTCCATCACTCAATTAGTTGAGCTGCCCGTGTGGATTACTTCTGTCACTGATATGCACTAGTTTATAGTGCATAAGTGTATGTTTTTATATCGATTTTGTGTAGACTTTCCATCACTTTTAGTTAGTTTGTAAGTATTTGTTTTATTTTAGTTGTAATTGTTTTTACCTTCTATTTCTAGCTATAGAATAGTGATAGAGTTTTTAGCAAGCAAAAGGGAAGAAAAGCTGAAGACAAAAATTCTCAGGAACACAAACCCGGCCGGGTCCCTTACTCGACCCGGTCGGGTCAGATTTGACCCGGAGCACCAGAACATGCTGCAGATTTGGAAAGGATCTGATTTTGGTCAAACCCGGTCGGGTTCCTTACTTGACCCGGTCGGGTCTGACTTGACCCGGACAAGTTAACGTGCTAAAAACAAGAAATCGTGGGAGATAATCTGATTTTGACCGGTACCCGGTCGGGTATGTACCTATACCCGGTCGGGTACCCGGCCAAAGGTGTTGAAAAACACCTATAAATAGCACACTTTTTCTTCACAAAAAATCATCCCTTCTTCCATATACTTAAGCTCAGTTTAGAATAGCATTTCTTTATATTTCTTTTAGCATGTTTAGTCTCCAAATGAGGAGCTAAACTTCCATTTCTTGGTTTTGCTCTTGAAGCTTGTTGATTATTAAAGTTGTGAGTTATTTTCTTACTTTCTCCTCTTGATTATTAATTCTTCCCTTAATCTCATTCTATATTGATATTGGAGGGTGGCTAAGTGACGATTAGTTAACGTTCCAACATTGATTATTACTAGAAACGATCAACGAACCGATGGTTAAACGTTGATGGTTTCACAAGTAAGTAACTTCGGTTTATTAATGCACGGTCGTGGTTAATAAACTTAAGAGGGATTAATTTTGTTGGTTAAACTGAAACCGTTGTGTTGAGGTTATCAATCTCAATTGATTTCATCTAGGAGTTAAAGAGGTTTAATGCTACTATCAAGTCGGTATATGGCGGTGTTCTATACATGACTAATAGTAAGGGTTATTAATGAACGGTCGTTGTTAATAACTACCCTCGATGAATTGGATATACTCCTCGATTGAGTATTCGAGAGGGGATAAGTTATAGATATAACAATGATCGACTAAAATATATCAACAAGTGGAAAGTAGCAAGACCAAGTCCCTTTTATTCTTGAATTTAATCCCATATAACTCGTTCATCTTCGTATTTAATTTAATTAAATCACTCAACAATCAAAACCCCCCTTTATTTACTATTTATATAAAAAGAAAGTTATTCCTTTCCCTGTGGATACGAACTCTACTTCACCTATACTACGTATAAGTGTTAGTGTTGAAATTACTTTGAGTGCACTCACGACAAAGTGCACGTCAAATTTGGCGCCGTTGCCGGGGAAAGGCAATTGATTTTTCTTTTTATTTCAATCTAAGAAAAAGAAAAAAATATATATATATAATTTCAAGTATAAAGGTTTCTATTTCTGCTGAGCTTTGTAGTACATGGTAAAATATCGTTCACTGAACGAAATCACATACCACTCAAACCCCGAAATAGAACGAACTCTCGAGCGGTTGAAAAACAAATTTTCAAACTCCGACTCGGGAGAGTCATCAAGTGCTAGCCCTCTATCTAGCGACACCGAGGAGCCAATCATCATGGCTCATGAAACAAGAACATTAAGGGAGCTCACAGCTCCGAATCTAAATCAACAACCCCTTTGTATCACCTTTCCAACCCTTGATACGGGTGTCACATTCGAGCTAAAATCTGGGCTCATCCATCTACTCCCATCATTTCATGGCCTACGAGGGGAAGATCCGAACAAACACTTGTCGGAATTCCATATTGTGTGCACAAGCATGTGCCCTAATGGTGTTTCCGAGGAGCAGATAAAACTGAGAGCCTTTCCATTCTCCTTAAAAGACACCGCGAAGGATTGGCTTTTCTATCTTCCTTCGGGTAGCATCAATACATGGGCTCAAATGAAAAAGAGCTTCCTCGACAGGTATTATCCCGCATCTATCTCTTCAAGTCTCAAAAAGCAAATCAGCAACATTGAGCAAGCCGATGATGAGACCTTGTACGAATATTGGGAGCGCTTTAAGAAATTATGCGCTAGCTGCCCATATCATGGATATTCGGAACAAGATCTCATCCTCTACTTCTATGATGGGCTTGTTGATCAAGATAGACGCATGGTGAATGCGGCATGTGGAGGGGGTATTGTCAACAAAACCCCTTCTCAAGCAAGAGACCTCATCTCCGAGTTGGCCGAAAACTCGAGGCATTATAATGGGAGGTCATCATCAAAAAGAGTTATGGCAGCGGAATCCAACAATTCGTTGGAAAGTCAAGTGGCCGGCTTGACTTCTTTGGTCAAAGATTTTCTTTTGAATCCAAAAACCCAAGAAGTCAAGGTCTGCGGCATATGCTCAACACAAGGGCATCCCACCGATTCTTGCCCAACATTACAAGAGGAGAACCCCGAGCAAGTCAATGCTTTGGGTTTCCAAGGTCAAAGGAGGTACGATCCACATGGCAACACTTACAATCCGGGGTGGAGGGATCATCCCAATCTAAGGTACGGAAACTCTCAACCTCCTCAACAATCAAACCCCCCCCCCCCTCAACAATATAAACAACAAGGGCAAACATCAAACTCGAGCATGTCCACTGAAGACATGATTCGATCACTGGCCATGAACATGGCCACGATGCAACAAAGTGTGACCCAATTCCAAGAAACAACAAAATCCAGCATCCACAACTTGGAAAATCAAATGAGCCAAATCTCGAATGCCGTGAGTAGGCTTGAAGCTAAGGATTCGGCAAAACTCTCATCTCAAACGGAGCCGAATCCAAGGCAACAAGCCCACGCGGTCACTTTGAGAAGTGGAAAGGAATTGGTTATGGCTAAAGCAAAAGCAAAAAGCCATGTCGGAGAAGAGGAGGAAGATATCTTGGTGCCAAGCACAAATCCTCAAAATGAAGAAGAGAAAGAGGAGGAAATCACACCTCAAAGAAAGTTCCCACCGCTCGATTCATACGAGCCGGTGCCACCTTTCCCGGAGGCTCTCAAGGACAACCGAAAATACAACAATGACAAGGACATCTATGAGACCTTCAGCAAATGTGAGGTAAATATCCCTCTTCTCAACTTAATTAAAGGCGTTCCTAGATTTGCTAAGTTTTTAAAAGAACTTTGCACTATTAAAAGGAAACACAAACTAAATGGCAAGCATAAAATCCAAGTTAGTGAAAGAGTTTCAGCCGTTTTCCAAAAGAAACTTCCTAAAAAGTATAGTGACCCGGGAATGTTCACTATACCATGTAAACTAGGAAACTCTAGTTTTTCTAGGGCTATGTTAGATTTGGGTGCATCAATTAATGCCATTCCATATTCTCTATATAAGTACCTAGAACTAGGACCTCTACATGAAACGGGGGTTGTCATCCAACTTGCCGACAGATCCAACGCTTACCCAAAAGGTGTAGTGGAGGATGTACTCGTCATGGTGGATAATCTAATCTTTCCCGCTGATTTTTATGTTCTCGAAATGGAGAACGATAAAAATGCAGTCCCAATTTTGTTAGGAAGACCCTTTTTAAAAACGGCCAAAGCAAAAATAGATGTTTTTAGTGGAGTATTAACTATGGAGTTCGATGGTGAAAAAGTCGAATTTAATATCTACGACTCCATGAAATACCCCACCGATAATCACTCTCTTTTTGCAATTGACACTTGCGATACTTGGGTCCAAGATATATTCGAGGTTGAGGGGAAAGACACGTTACTAAGCTCAATTGAAAACGACATAGAGGACTTCACTATGGAATACTCTATGTCAAACAACATGAAGATGATGATGGTGGCGGAGTTAAATCAACTCCCACTTTTGCCACCGGGCTCTAAAGCCCTCCCACTAACCATTCCGAGCGAGAAGCCGCTACCATCTGTTTTGCAGGCACCGGAGGTGGAATTAAAACCACTTCCTGAAAATTTGAAGCATGTATTCTTGGGCGAAAATCACACTCTACCGGTGATTATCTCAAACGCCTTAGCCCAAGAACAAGAGGAAAGATTGATTGCGGTCCTCAAGGAGTACAAGTTGGCCATTGGATGGTCTATTGCCGACATCAAAGGCATTAGTCCATCCACATGCATGCACCGGATC